GAGGGGCTCCAGATCTTAGTGATCAGACAGATTTATATAAGAAGAAATGCTCCTTCAGATATCTAGGTCCCAAGCTATTTATGGTTGAGTGGGTCATTAACAACATCTTCAGTTCAGAATAAAAGCGTATTGGCAGCCAGTGCAAATCTTTCAGAAGCAGTGTCCTCTTTCCTAATTCTTTTCATGAGCTTGCAGGGCACTGTGGATGGAGCCATATAAATATTACAGTGCTAGCTCGATCCTCAACTCATTGACCCACTTCCTCTCAGCTGTAGCTCTTCCCCAAGCACCATGTGCATGAAGCAGAGCAAATGGCTGCGGTCAAAGGACCCAAAACACACAAACCAACATCCAGACAACTAGCTCAGTTAGGCAATCGGCCTTAAGGCAACACAAATTCACCTCTTTTTTTTTCTCTCTTCCGCCATTTCAATGTGAAATGTCCCAGTCTATTTACAGGGTCCATGTGGTCATGTTGGTATGCTTGCAGGAACCGTGGCTATAGCTGCAAATCAGGAAACAGAAAGCCCTGTCCTCCAAATAAGAAAATGCCACTGTTTCTTCAATGGACTATGAGGGAACCATCTTTGCCCTCTTAAGGTAAAGGTAAAGGTAAAGGTAAAGGTTCCCCTTGACAACTTGTCCAGTCGTGTCTAACTGTAGGGCTCATCCCTGTTTCCAAGCCATAGATCCAGCGTTTTGTCTGTAGACAGTTTTCCGTGGTCACGTGGCCAGCGCGACTAGACACGGAATGTCATGACCTTCCCACTGAGGTGGTACCTATATATCTACTTGCATTTACATGCTTTTGAACTGCTAGGTTGGCAGGAGCTGGGACAAGCGACGGGAGCTCACTCCGTCGTGCGGATTCGATCTTACGACTGCTGGTCTTCTGACATTGCAGCACAGAGGCTTCTGCAGTTTAACCAGCAGTGCCACCACGTCCCTCTTAGTCCAGTGCATTTCATTTGCCACTAATGGTTTTCTGCCCAACGTCATCTGATTCCATTTGCAAGCATCCATAGCGTCACTTCTTCGGATGCCACCATCCATGGCATCACTTGCATCAACAAAGGCAGCTGGAAATTACAATCCAGGCAAATGAGGTCAAAAGGAAACTGCGCAGAGAAGAATGATCTCAAAAGAGATGCAAATATGTTCAGCAAGCGAACATAAAGAGCCACAAAGAGAGTCACTTTGCAACACAGTCCAATACAATAAAAACAAAGCAAGACATGAAGTTTGGCCTCAATACTAAACATTAAGAGTTTGGAGAAGAAGGAGCCTACAGATGTTAGTAACTCCTACGCAGACACACGGGAGAATATTGTGCTTACAAAACAAGGCTTTCAGAACAGCCTTCTGCACATCACAGAGATTTTTAAAATAATGTATCATTCATGGGTTTCATTGTAAAAGCATGCAAATCACACTTTGCTGGGGACAAAGAAAAACAAAATGCTGTTTTTGGGGTGGCCTTCAAGATGCATTTAATGGTACGTAGATATTTTTAAAAGAGTAATATAACCATTGTACTCACTGAATTTTTAAATTAATGGCTCTTTCTCCCTCTGTTCTTCTCACGTTTTCTTCCCGTCATCTTTATTGCCATACATTTAACCCATTGTGACGTGTATCTCACTGGCGGCTGTTTCATTTGTTTATTTGAGTATGCATTTTTGTTTCATTTTGTTTCTTTTTTTTGTGGTACGCTTGTTTTTCGGTGGCTTTTGTGAACCAGATCCCATTGACCCATTAGAAGTTGATTTTTATCCTTTGCTTGATGATTTCCCTACCTCGGTCCCAGATGTCTCCACCCCCATGCTCCCACCCGTAGGTGTCCAGGCTGTCGCCTTAACCCATGACGCTGTGAGGGTCAGCTGGGCAGACAACTCTGTCCCCAAGAACCAAAAGACGACCGAAGTCCGGTTTTACACAGTCCGGTGGAGAACCAGCTATTCTACAAGTGCTAAATACAAGGTGAGGTCTTTCAATTCATCCTGTGCTCAACCTTAATCTGAAGCTCAAACTAGACATTAAGGGGAATGAATATCCTTTGCTATAAGCCCATTTTCCTTCCCATAATTCTTCAGAGATCTGTGTCTCAGCAATCGGACTCCTGAATGAATCCTGTATTTGCTTGTTTTATGATTGGTCATAAAGCAAAGCATGATAAATACAGGATACATAGGTGAGGAAAACTCTGTGCCATGTCAGACATATTTCATCATTTGGGGGAGACTACAATAAGACCCCCATATCTGTGGGTTCCGAGCCTCCTCCCACCCCCCGGCAGATGCTGAGGTAAGACCCCCATATCTGTGGGAGATTGGTTCCAAGCCTCCTCCCACCCCCCGGCAGATGCTGAAAATGCAAAAAAAAACCAACAACAACAACAATCTGTTTTAATAGTGAACACGATACAGATACATAGCATGATCTCTGTCTAGTGGCCAGTTCTGGTAACTTGTCATTGAAAATATATATTTTAAGGATTTTTCTTTTAATATTCTAAATATTTTCGGACTATAGATAAGTAAATCATCAGAAAGGGGTCCTGTGGATTGTCTAGTTTCCCCCTGAATGTGTCTGTCATGAAGGGAAATCTCAAAATTCCAGAATTTTGTACGATTGAACGCTCTAGGAAGGAGCTTAAAAAGATTACTTTTGTCAGTGGGAAGTAGCAGTGCCAGCTGGGGGTTTATGGGAGCAGTGGACCAGAAAAGTAACTTTCTTTAAGTTCTCATTGTGAGGAGGCCACATGTTGCACCATTCATGATGCCATATGATTATAGATCAATACCATGTGTGGGAAATTATTGGGAGATGTAGGTCTGATAAGATGTAGATATTAAAAAGTTAAAACTGCCCAATGTGGCCGCATCAGTTGTGTGACAGTCTTAAGGACAGAGCATGATGCTGCACACTTGATAGGTGACACGCTTGAGAGGCTGGAAGTGGAGGTGAAGACAGACAGCGGAAATCCGTGAACTGTGTCATATTGTGCAATTACTCATATTTTCCCATCTCTCCTAATGTTGTATACTTGGATGAGGATGCTGGCTTAACTGAGTCCCCAGAAGTGGGACGTTCTTGGGAAAGGGGGTAAGCGGAGATCATTTGAGGTATATGTGTGATGGATGGGGTTATGCATCTTGCCCCTTGTGTGTCCTTGGGCAAGTGACACAGCCCCTTCCCCAGAGGGAAGGAGTAGTAACCCCATCCATGTGCTTTGCAACCTGGGAGGATTTATTTTATTTAAAATATTTCACCCCACCTTTCTCCTTAAGAAAGACCCAATGTGGTTTACATCATTAAAAAACAATATTTGAAACTACAAATACTGTACCTTTAAAAAATCAAAGAAATCAAAAGATGGAAAACAAAAAAAAGATGGAAAACAAAAATGACACAAAAACACATTCAAAGCAGTAAAGACACCGTCATCCATTTAACAACACTCGGGCAGCCAGTCCCTAAAGGGAAGTTGGCCTGAAGAGAAAGGACTTAATCTGTTTGCAGAAGGACAGGAAAGATGAGGCCCGCCTGGCCTCTTGTGGGAGAGAGTTCCAAAGTCTGGGTGTAGCCACAGAGAAGGCCCTTTTCCGTGTCTGCCTCAAACATACCTGCAAAGGTGGTGGGTCCAAGAGAAAAGGTTTCTCCTGATGATCTGAACACCTTGGCAGGTTCATAAAGGGAGAGGTGGTCCTTGAGATAGCTTGGACCTAAGCTATTTAGGGCTTTATAGGTTAGCACTAGCACCTTGAATTGTGCCTGGAAAAAGCTCAGCAGTGAGTGGTGCAGCTGTAACAGGAGGATTATGGGATCCCTGTGATCATACCCCAGTTGGAATTCGCTTGATGGCATATGATGACTACCAACTGGCAAAACAGATTACATTGTTTTTTCCCTACAAGGGAATGATATGGAAGGGGCAGGAGACAGCTAACCAACTGAAGTGTCTGCTATGTAATTTTTTTAAAATATCTTTTCAGTCAGTTTCATAGAGTTCAAATTATAACATCTTATTTAAGAAAGCTCTTGGGTTTTTTCTCCCCAATTCAAAATGATGATATCCTTAAAGTGTCTGCAAGGCCCTTGAAATGCTAATATTTTCTATCAAGGGAGGCAATATCACACATAGCAATGGTTCACGTCAAGGAATCTTGGCTTTTATGAAAGTAAGTGGTAACATTTATGTGTGGCCAAAGCCCATTTTTTTCTGATCTGTACGCTTTTTGTACTTGGTATTGAAATATTTTTGTTTCCCGTCTCCATTGTGCCACCACTCCTTTCCATGTACCAGACATGCGAAGGATCAAGAAAAAAATGCACTTCTCTCTTTCTTGATCCAGCTAATTTGTTCTCTATAGTTTTGAAATATTTTTGTTTATTTAGGCTCTCTTCCCCCCCCCTCCCATGTAATGGATTTAAAAATCATCCTTCAGGGTTAAATTAGTCTCCCAAGTCTGCTAGGATTTTGTTAGACATGTTGTTGTTGTTGTTTAGTTGTTAAGTCGTGTCCGACTCTTCATGACCCCATGGACCAGAGCACGCCAGGCCCCCCTGTCCTCCACTGCCTCCCGCAGTTGGGTCAAATTCATGTTGGTAGCTTCCGTGACTCTATCCAACCATCTCGTCCTCTGTCATCCCCTTCTCCTCTTGCCTTCACACTTTCCCAACATCAGGGTCTTTTCCAGGGAGTCTTCTTTTCTCATTAGATGGCCAAAGTATTGGAGCCTCAGCCTCAGGATCTGATTTCCTTTAGAATGGATAGGTTTGTTCTCCTTGCAGTCCAGGGGACACTCAAGAGTCTCATCCAGCACCACAATTCAAAACCATCAATTCTTTGGCAGTCAGCCTTCTTTATGGTCCAGCTCTCACTTCCATACATCACTACTGGAAAAACCATAGCTTTGACTATGCAGACCTTTGTCGGCAAGGTGATGTCTCTGCTTTTTAAGATGCTGTCGAGGTTTGTCATCGCTTCCCTCCCAAGAAGCAGGTGTCTTTTAATTTCATGGCTGCTGTCACCATCTGCAGTGATCATGGAGTCCAAGAAAGTAAAATCTGTCACTGCCTCCATATCCTCCCCTTCTATTTGCCAGGACATGATGGGACCAGTGGCCATGATCTTAGCACTGCCTTTCTTTGGGATTGGGATGTAGACTGATCTTTTCCAATCCTCTGGCCACTGTTGAGTTTTCCAAACTTGCTGGCATATTGAGTGTAGCACCTTAACAGCATCATCTTTTATGATATGAAATAGTTCAACTGGCATGCTATCACCTCCACTAGCCTTGTTGTTAGCCATGCTTTCTAAGGCCCACTTGACTTCACTCTCTAGGATGTCTGGCTCAAGGTCAGCAACCACATCAAAGACATGATGAGTTAAATGCAAATGTAAACAATTTAGAATTCATAAATATTTAAAACTCAATAGAAGGTTGCCATTGTTGTGCGGGTTTTAAAAAAGTGAATAATTAAAAGAAAATGAAAGGAAATTAGTACGGAGGGGGGGTAGAGAGAGAGAGTAGCTGATATGCCTGAAAAAAGAAAAGTTCTAGGAATGCTTTAGTCTTTACTAAAGCAGCCTTTGGAAGAAGTTTACTGAAGTCTTGCTGGAGTTTTATAATGTTTGCATTCATAGAAAGATTGAGCACTGATCAAAACAGGCTGAATTTCCATCATATCAGAGCTCTAGGGAAAAGCTAAGACCCCAGTATTCAATCTGTACGTAGCCCTCAAAGGAGGTGTGCCATTAAATACATAACATGTAATGAACTTGCTTTGTATAGTGATTGATTTACTTTCAAGTAAGCAGAGGGGACCCTATTTTATACTTACACACAAACAAGAAGCCTATGCATGAGTAGGAAGTCTCCTTTTCAGACTCCTCCAGCACTCCATGAACAAATCATCAACAGCCACAGTGAAGCTAAGTGCTCCCCTATAATTTTTCTGGCAAACCCCAGAATTATAATGAATAAATAGGGTTCCCATTCTCAGTGTGTCTGCCTGGGTCCATGTTGCAGTTTCCTTTTCATCAACAGGCTCCCTTTTCCTGGATTTAACAGGTGAGATCTGCATGTCATGCTTTTCCGACTATTGCTTAGCCGTTTTTGGCTATCTGAGTGGGCTCCAGTGGGCTCCCCAGGTTTATTCCCTCATCTGAGATCCACAGCAAACCCCATGCTTGTAGATTACCTAATATAGTGTGGCAGGACAGACCTGACCCAGTAACAGTCTCTCAGCCAAGCAGCTGCTTATTTGACATCAGTATCTTTTCAAGAGGAGGGGCAGTAATTCATGTACATGTAGGTGTACATGTTAGCAGTGGTGCATTTTGAACATCAGCACTGTTTCATATGGAAGAAAAGAGTTGAGAAAAGGCACATTTTTCACTAATCACTGCAAGAGACTGAGATTCTCCCCCCCCCACACACACACACACTTTTAACTGGAATGTTTACATTGGCAATAATGATTTCTGCAGAAATTGTGTAACTCTAGTTTAAAAAAAATAATTTTAATAAATAAATAAATAAATAAATTAACAATTATAAAATGTTAAATTTAAAAATTAGATGTATTGTTTCCCTCTTTTTGAGCCATCTGTCAGGCAGTTTCTGCTTGTTCTCTCTCTTTGTGTGTGTGTGTGTGTGTGTGTGTGCGTGCGTGCGCATGTGCGTGCACGCACACACACACTTTCTTTCACAAAGGAGAAAACCATTATCTTTGCATTGAGACCCTTTGTGCAGATTTTGACAACTTCAGTTAAAAAAAAGATTCTGCGGCAGAGTTGAAAAATCTAGCGGGAATTATTGGTTTCTCAACAAAGATTTCTTCACATCTCTACTTTCCTGCAAACGTAAAACAAGATAACTGCCACTTTGAGCTCACTGGAAGAGAAGCAGGATATCTGTTTATTCCATAAATAAATGATTATCTAGGAGGTCATTGAAGGACCCTCTTGCCATATTGGGGAGAGACGATACGTTATTTGTTCCTTTTGCAAATGTACATGTTGTCTATCTGCAAATATACCCAAGGCAGTGTGCACAAAATTATTAAATACAGCCACAGCCAGAACATGAAAGTATAAAATCAAGTTCAGTCTCAGAAGATCACAGCAGGGAACAGCAGCATCGCAAGAAATGAGAGCCTTACATGCTAAGAAACTTTTTTTATGAACCATCTAAAAGTGAATAGAGAGCAGGCTTGGCAGCTATAAAGAGCCAATTCAAAAATTTTATGTCCGTAATAGAAGAAAATTGAAGGCCTTTCCTAAGATGGGCTAAACTCAGTTGTCAGTGCCAGCTAGAGCAGAACCACTGAATCAGTGGGACTTTTGTGAGGTAAACACTTGTGTAAGAACCACTGATTCAGTGGGTCTACTCTAGCCCAGACCAACAGCTTCAGATAGCTCAGTGGCCGAAATCCTGATGCTTGGCATATTAAATCACACTAGAATAGGCCCACTGAATCAATGGGGATGTAGTGGCTCAATTCCTCTGTAAATTCCATTTGTTCAAATGGGCCTACTCTAACAGTGAGTTACTTTAGGAGGCGTTGACTCTCCAAATCACCATTGATTCAATAGGCCTACTCTAGCGCAATTTACTATGCTAAGCAACAGGATTTGAGGCAATATTTGTATGTATTTTTCCTCCCATCTCCAGAATCTCCTGCTTGTGGCAGGGATTGCAGTTGCATTGAACACCTTGGATCCTTAGAAAAGGGGGATATTTCCCAAACCAAAACTAGGTACACAACAGTCCTTAGTTTTCTGAAAAAATGATGGCATCCCCTAGCTGTGCTGTTTATGAGGTACTTTTAAGGTAAAAACTTGCCATGCACAAGTGGCTCCTTAATTCCAGCTTAAATAAAAGGTAGATGAGGGAAAACACAGCATTACCGAGGTCCCTATATACACATTATAAATCTGTTATTTACCTGTTCTTAATGCACTTCCATCACCCAGATGAATAATGCATTTCCCTCAATAAAGCAGGTGAACAGAAAGCTCACACTTAAACCAAACCAAAGCACATATAAACGTGAGGCATTAAAACCTGAACTTTTTTTTTGTAAGAACGTAAGTACATATTTGCTCAAGAGGCAGGCAGAGGCATTTTTGATCACTTGATTAAATATGTATGAAAAGAGTCCAGAATGTCCTCTTTGAAAAAGGACCTGTAAATAAGCATGTTTCTATCAAAAATTCAGAAAACAAAACAAAACAAAACAAACTTCTTCAATAAACTGAATCTTATGAGTCCCAGGTAAGCTGCATATATAGTGTCAGAACAGGTGATGCAAACCAAAGCAGGCAAAAAGCATCTTTTCTCTTTATTTATCTTGCTCCCTTAAAGGGCATGTAATGCAATAAACTACCTTTGAGTCACTACTGCATCTGGTCAGCCGGTGTAAAAGTTAGCTGAAATCTCTTTCTCTCCTCCCCACGGGACTTACCGTCCCCATTATAGTTCAGTGCCGCTTGGCTCGCTCTTGCTTTATGAAAACTCCAGAAATTCTCCCATATCGACAGCCCCCCCCTCCCCGTATGCACTACACTTGGAAGGCAACACAAGCATGGAATGCACCCTTTCCTATGCATCAGTGCCCCATGGTTTTAAGCCATGTATTTTACCTCTTGGGTTTCCTGTGTGTGCTAAACCAGTGGTCCCCAACCTTGGGCCTCCAGATGTTCTTGGACTTCAACTCCCAGAAATCCTGGCCAGCAGAGGTGGTGGCGAAGGCTTCTGGGAGTTGTAGTCCAAGAACATCTGGACGCCCAAGGTTGGGGACCACTGTGCTAAACAGTACTAATTTTTTATCTTCTTGCACAATTGCAAGCTGCCTCATTGAATGCGGAGGTGATTCTAAATTAAATTAAATTAAATCATAGATAAATAAATGCAGTTACAGATAAAAGTGAGCCGAAGCATTAGGAGGCCTAAAGAGTGGAGAGGAGTAATTTAAGAGTTTCCTAAGAGTAGAGGGTCAGGGGAAGGATTAGAAGGAATCAGAGAAAGTAACACCACACTACTGCTCCAGAACATTAATAATAATAAT